GCTCAGGCACTGGTGTATATTGGGACCACCCGGGGCCCACAGAGGCCCCCCACCTATGTAGGGTAGGGCAGGTCCTGATCCTTTGTCCCCAGGTGACTCAGGGAACAGCTAAAGTTTGAGAACCACTGGACCGTCTGGAAAGCAGGACATCAGACACAATTTTAAAAAGGTATTTGGCCAATCAGGCTTTTCCCTTGAAATTCCTGGGCTGCTTGTCTGTGGTTAAAATGACCTAAACAGAACTGTCACACCGAGCTGGGTGTAAGCAGAGGCAGGCATCCATAGGGGCAAAGTACTACTGCAGTAGCCCTCCCTTATCTGTGATTTCAGTTACCCACAGCCAACCTCGGTCCAGAAATATGAAATGAAAAATTCCAGAAATAAATAATTTGTAAATTTTCAATTGCACACTGTTTGAATAGCATGAAGAAATCTCCAACTGTCCCCCTAAGTACTTCACCTCATCATGTAGACATGGTACCATCTCACATCATCACCAGAAGAGTCAATATGCACAATAAGATATGTTAAGAGAAAGAGAGACCACATTCCCATAGCTTTTATTATAGTACAAGGTGGGGCAAAAGTAGGCTTACAGTTGTTCTTATAAAAATAACACAATAACTAATAATAAAGCAAGAATAAACTGTGTTTCACATACTTACAACAAAAGTAAACCTACTTTTGCCCCACCCTGCATATTAAAATGGTTCTATTTTATTATGTTATTGCTAACCTCTTACTGTGCCTAACTTATCAATTAAATGTCATCATTTTGGTATGCATACATAGGACAAAATATGATATATAGGGTTTGGCACCACCCGTGGTTTCCGGCATCCACTGCAGTATCCCCGCAGATAAGTTCTGCTGAAGGGAAAACAGCACACACACGTGCACATTCACACGTATGCACACTCCCCATCTTTGCAGCAAAACCTGTACAAACCTGCCTGCCTGTCCCGGAAAGAAACTGCCACCCTGACAGTCTTGTGTGTATATGCAGACGTCAACTCTGCCAGACTTTCCAGAAAGATGTGTTTCCCTCTTGGTCACTGCGGAGCTTCCGCGTGGCAGGCAGTTCCTCAAACGGGGCTGTTCACTTTGGGCATGTGCCACCAGCGCTATTATTTAATACTAGTGGCCCAGTGCACAAATTCGTGCACATTGAAAGGACATTAATTAGAAGAAATATTTTAATATCACTATTCGCCCTTTCTCTATAATGGAAGTGTCAACCAAATTCATGATCGACAATGACAGATCAAAACACACGTATGCAATTGGCGCCAGCGAGAGCTTTATATGTATCTATCATGCATGTGCGAGTCAACTTAGCCTTTTATAGATATAGAATAAACTTGCTTAATTAGACCTACTTTCTGATTTAGCTAAACTTTTTCCAGCCCAGTGAAGCACCCTAACTTCTCTTTCAGGTAATTGTCAACAACACAGCAGTAAATATCAACACGAAGCAGATTATTATTGTAGATCACGCAGGGAGAACAAAGGGTAAAATATTTAACTGCAGCAGTGTTTGACTATATTCTGTGCAGTGAGAAAACCTGAAGTCATTTTCAAGGTCCACCATTTCTTACTTCTTTTTAGTAAGGTCAAGTTTCTAAGCTTTCTAAATCTCCGCTTTCCGGCTGATGAAAAGAAAATAGGACTCCACCAAGTCTCCTATCTACCTACTCCAGGACTTCTGTGAGGATCAAATGAGATGAGGCATGCTTCACAGACATTTGGTTACAGTGTAAAATGTTTCCACCTGGCTATAAAGCAAGTCATGTTCCTGGGCTGAAGAAACTCCAAGGAGGCTAGTGGCTAGGGAGAGGAAGCCGGGCATTGCTACGTGATGTCATTACCTGGCCGGACCCTTAGCATATTAGCCTTTTATATATAGAGATTTTTTTCTTAAATCTACTCACTTTTTAAAAAATTAACTTAATATCATTGCCATGGAGAGGACACCATGCTCTGTGCCAGACAAAGATGCTTTCCATAAAAACAAGCATAACTGGAACAAAACGTCATTAAATCCAGGGGACCCTGTTGCCTGTGGAGCCTGGGATGCCAAGGCCCCTTTCCTCCTGACCCTGCTCTTGCTTTTTAAAAAGGGACGTGGCATGCAGACGCTCTCCTCAAGGCCACGGAAGGACTGGAAGGGGGCTGTGGGAACATGGCTTCTTCGTTAGGGAATTTAAGGTAATTGATGCCAAATCGGGGCATGGCCTGAAGTCGTCTGGGGTGCCCACATGGCACTTTATCCTTAGCAGAGTTTTCAAGAAAGGACAGCAATACTGAGAAGTGGAGACACTGGGATTGCTGCCCCGAGGTAATAAGAGGACAAATCCCACCAGCCAGAGCTGACCACCCTCACCCCTGCTCCTTTCAGCATCTTTGCAGGGGGCTGATGGTCCTTCTTCCTCATGGAGATGTTAAGGGGTGGGTGGGATTATCAATAAGGCACACAGCAAGTCCCGGATGAATGTCTGCTGTCCCCACACACAAACAAAGTTGCAACTGAAAGAGCTGAAGACCGAATCACTATCTGCTCTTCTGCAGACTTTATGGGAAGGAGGAAGAGACCACTTACTCCTGCCCCCCTCGAAAATACCAGACCAGTTGAGATCCCATGCTTCCTGTTTACATAAAAATGAAACACAACTTGTATGCATGCATATAAGCATAACCAATGGACATAAGACACTGGGG